ACTTCGTAGCTGGAATTAATTGGTAGATTGATTGGCAGTTGCAGTAAGCATCTGCAAATATAGAACCTGCAATCTTGTATCATTCTGCGCATGCTCAGTGACACTTGATGTGATTATAAAATTTGCCAATTGAAAATTATACAAATTTAACTTCTGTGATATTTCCAGCTGTATTGTATGATAATATCTTAATTATTAGAAAGAATCATTATCTGTTCAAAGTGATACTGAGTCAGTTAAAGAAGTTGAGGTATATCTCACTAGTTTGTATTAATTATAATAATTATTAATAGGAAGAACCACTCTTTGAAGAGTTGACTGTATTGAGCTCTCAGCTTAATGAGATAAAAGAAGAAAACCAAGAATTGGCTGACAAATTATCAACAATGAAGGTTGAGTATTTGAGATTACTTTCACTTTCTAGTAATGGTGATTCAGGTTAGAGTTGTTTTATTAATTATATACTAGTTATAATGATTAATTAAAGCTGCTAGCAAAGTGAGAAGAGGAATGTGTTTTGAAATTGATGACTGCAAATTTCATCTTAAAGCAATGACAAGACCAGACTATCAGCCATTAGTAGATAATAAAAGAATAATAGAGAAATTACAAGAAAGAATAACATTAATGAATATGGAGCTAATGACTGAAAGAGAACACAGTGCAAAGATTATAAAAGATATTAAAGGTTTTTTGATGATGTGTGTCATCATTTGATTGTTGATATTTGAATAGATTTGACAAATGTTGAAGACAAAGAGACTAGTAAGGAAGAGAATGAGTATGATAGTCTAAAGGATGAGGTAAAGGATCAGATATGTTCAGTAAATGAAGTCAGACATAATAAGTAGATCTTATACTCTTTTTAATCAGTTGAAATTATATTGTAATCATCCTGTTACTCGAAAATTTAAGGAGTCAACACTTGCAGTACATAAAGATGAAGTACTACCCACAGTACTAGATAAAGCTTATGAGGTTTATTACTTTTCGTTAAATTCTATTTATTCTTTCATTTTTCATTTCTATTCTCCTCATTCCTTAATCAGTTAATGAAATTAGCTCCTCATATTCCTATTGAGAGATGTCGTTTAGTTAAATATGATTATGATAATGATTTACTGGAACAGTCCTTTGATCTTGATGAGGTATAATTACATGTAAGTTTTGTCTATTCTAATTTATTGTTATTTTTAGTTTCACCATCAAACTATTTGGCAGATTGTGGGTGGGAATAGGTGGTATTTTCCTTTTAAATTATTTTTAGAAACTCGTGAAGAAAATGAAATTTTTGATAAATACCATAATGGAGGTGAGTTACAATATATGACAATACCTCTAATTACATGTACATGTGTTTGATGGTGTAGCTATTAATCTAAAGATATCAGTGGTTAATCTGTCAACTGGTGAAATAGGACCAGCAAAACTAGTGAGAGTTGAGAAAAGTTGGACTGTTGAAGAATTAAAACAACATATAGGAGAAGTAATAATGTAATGTATTGTTATATTGTTCACCTTCCCTCCCTCCAATGATTTGATTCTTCTTTTCCCAGTTATATCGTCTCAATTCATCATGCATTAGATTAGTAGTGAAGAATGATCATGATGATGTTACTGATATTAGTGATGTAGGATGTACTTTAACTTTAGACAAGATATTCAGAAAGTCAACATACTTAGACAGACAAGTACTGACATTAATACTGTAATGGAATATTTTGATGGGAATTTTGTTTGTGATTTCTCCAAAAAATACCATTAGTTTTAGATATACATAATAGCCCATGTGTGTATACAAATGAAGTAAAAATTACAAAATGGCTTATTTTATATTGAGAAATTTCCATGCACATTATAAATGCTAATTGAATTCACCAATATTAATTCATTACCAATATTTCATACTATAGCTATCATCAACCTATCATGATTTAGAATTATTTTCTCACTTTCTTTTATTTGTACTCCTTTTCTCTTCTCTTTATTGTCTTTACATACAGACACACACACACTGTTTCCTTTCAGTTAGTGTATGTATCATCAGATCCTGGAGATTATCAAAAAGAATCCAAAGATAGTTTGATGTACAAATATGTTGGTCTTCCTGTCAACTCAATACTACTGAACATTACAATACCTCCTGGACCTGAAGCCACACCCACTACAACTAATGTAACTGGAGGAGGAATAATAATGAAAATTATACCAACTGGAAAATAAAGGAAAAGAAAGAAGTATGACTTGTACTACCATATGGCCAGAATGTCACAGTTTTGTGACAAAAAACTTTCGTGGTTTAGTGGCTTCCAGTCTATTCGTAGTTTTTATTTTCATGGATC